CTTTTAACTCACGTGACTAAGAATTCTAAAGCACAAAACGAAGTCACAAATTTTAGGAGAACAGAGGGCTGACAAAAATGCCAGGTAAATCAAATGTACATAATTAGCTATTTTTCATTTAATTCTACAAGTAAATTTGGAAAAAGGATGTTTGGTACCTCTAACATAATATAAAGCAGTCTGCTTTTCTGAAAAACAAAAATTGTATTATTCTTTCAAGGAATAGATACTTCATAGAATAAATCAAAACTTTGTTCTGTTTTATATGCCAGGAATCATTTAAAAGATTATCCTAGTTCAAGAAGTTTCTCAAATGATTTCTAAAATGACAACTACTCTTATCTGGGAAAGAGGGAAGATATACATAAGTGAATCTGCTTTTAAATAATTTAGATGCATTTTCTAATTTTTTTTAAGTCTACAAGAAAACATTTGGGGGCAAAGATTTTTCAAGGTTGTTAATTCATCAGAACCAATTTCAGTGAAGTATTCTTCAGATCACCGAGGACAGACATAAACTTTTAGGGAGGGAGTGCATCCTTGGCAAACACCACATATAAATATGACTCCAGATAATTAACCCTGCCAACATCTCATAATGAACTGTACTTTAATAACAGGGTCAAAGTCAGCAAAACACCCTGCTGGATGAGCCATCATGATGAAGGCTGGGTGAACTTAAGGCACTGTAGAACCACCCTTGTCCTCGGCCTTAGTGAAGGGACAGGGTCTTTATTTTACTTAAGTCAAAAACCGTGACAAGTTTGCAGAAGATCTAGAAATAGGTTCAAATATTAAGTTACGAAGCAGAGAACACGGGGGTATACGTGCTTTAAAAAGCTTCTCACAAATGCTGTACAAGATGTAAATCTGCAAACAGATGAAGTGAAAACACTGATCTCCAATATAAAAAGAAAGCAATAATTTACATTACTGAAATGATACTGAACCAAACAGTTCTAGAGACTGCAAAGAGTTAACTGTTTCCATGTCAGCATCGTGATTAATTTGACAAATGGACTGTTTCCTCCCTTTTGTGAAAACAATTTCAAAGAACAAAGAGACTAGGAAGACAGTAAGTTTTTATGGAAAGAAGACTGAAATACAGGAGAGTGAAAAAAGAAACCATTACTTAAACTGCAATCAACTTCTTTGCTGGTCTATTTCACTTCTTATTTCTTTGAAACAAAGTCAGACTGAAGGAAAGAGCACTTTTTGCTTGCTGAAAAGGATGGAACATGACATCACTATAGGCAAGACAAATCGAATAATCTTTAATCGAAGTAGAAAACACTGGAATAAAAGCTATCAGAAGGCAAAATCTGGCTATTTCTAAATAATCATTTGGTAAACCTAAAAAGTATTTTTATATTCCTAAAATATTTGAAAGGTCTTAGACTTAACATTAACAATAGCTTTGTTTAATGTAACCTTCACCTTATCAAATATTTCAAGTTTTGTGACTTTAAAAATAATGCTCAAAGAGATATTTTCTAAATTGCTCAAAGAAACAAAAACTGCAAACTATATTACTGTAAGCACAAATTACTCAATTTTAACAAACCATACTTAAGGCACTAAGACATTAGGCAGGATTTTCCTATTCTGTGTAACTTGGCTATCCTCAAAGCATTTAAAATTGCCTGAACTCCGTTTCATTTAAAATTTAAATGAAAATGTAAGTTTCATTTAAACTCCTATCATTTAAAACTGCTGAAACTGTTATATAATTTCAACTGCATTTCACGCTTTTTATGCATGTATTTATTAGTGATAGCATGAAATTAATTTTTCAGTTACTCCAAAGCAGAAATAGCAAGAAGTGTTTGCAGGGGAAATCATCAATGGAGTCTTAAATGTAGTGTGTAACAGGCTGCCCTCTAGTGTCATTTTAGCTTAACTTTGAAAGTAGAAAACACCTTATTTTCAAATGCTACTCAAACAAATTTAGATTCAAAGTATTTCAAACTAAGGTAAGAAAGCAATCACCTTATGTGCTACAAAAAAAAAAAATCTTAAAATATCTAAAACAGGTTAGAGGTAGGGATCATTAACCACTAGTAAAGTGAATACTGGAAGAGATAAGATTTCCCAGTTCCCTGCAACACCTTTTAATTTTCAGAACCAACACTTTAAGACCTTTTTTTCTTTTTCAAGAGACAGAATCTTGCTGTGTCACCCAGGACGGAATGCAGTGGTGCAATCACAGCTTACTGCAGCCTCTAATTCCTGGGCTCGAGGAATCCTCCTGCCTCAGCCTCCCAAGTAGCTGGGACTACACGCGTGTGCCATCACACCTGGCTAATTTTTTATTTTTTTGTGGACACAGGGTCTTGCTATGTTGCCCAGGCTAGTCTTAACTCCCAGCCTCAAGCTACCCTCCCACCTTGGCCTCCCAAAGTTCTGGGATGACAGGTGTGTACCACCGTGCTGGTCTAGAAAAGATTCTTCTAACACTATTTTATGTGCCCTGTTCTTCCATGTAACAGGGGCTATGCAGAAATGAACTTGAGTGCAGCACAGTTTTAGATGCCTGTACAATATAACAAGGTGGAACTTCAAACAACTGTCCCCAAAGAGAGACCCTTGGGATCATTGGCAAATCACCACTCTTACTTAGTATACCTCATATGTGTGCTAACCAATGCCCAAGGAAGGGAACACTCCAGAAGGAATATAGTCATTAGCTTATCTATCATTTTAATGTTTTATCACATTGTGCCAACGCCACTGAGCACATGACATGTCTTTAAAAGCCATTCACATAAAGATAGCTAGAACATGAACTTGTTGCACATTGTTGATCAAAGAATAACTAAAAAGTAATGTAGCTCATAATGTAGATGTGAAAAGTCCTACATAGTATTAGTTTATTTTCTTTCTTTACTTGAGACAGGGTCTCACTCCATCACCCAGGCTGGAATGCAGTGGCATAATCATGGCTCACTGCAGCCTTGACTTCTCAGAGTCAAGTGATTCTCCAACCTCTCAGCCTCTGGAGCAGGTGGGACCAGAGACATGTGCCACCATGTCTGGCTAATTTCTTAATTTTTTTGTAGAGACAAGGTCTTACTATGTTGCCCAGGCTGGTCTTGAACTCCTGGCCTCTAGCAATCCCCCTACCCTGGCCTTCTAAAGTGCTGAGATTACAGGCATGAGCCACCACATCCAGCAGTATTAGTAATTTTCTATCATGTGTTTCACCTGACTTTATCTAAATTTCCACGTGTCTATTCGCTTTATGCAGTTCCAAATAAAGATGTATATTTAGTAATGTTTTGTTAGATTGTATTTTGGTCTTCTGAAAATGAACTAAAACGCCATGATGTTATGAAGCTCCCAATAGTGATAAAAGAAAATAGTTTATTGTGGTTAGGTTTCGTTAGTATTAATGTACCACGCTACAAATGCCTTTTAAAAAGTTTGTTAATTATAAGGCCTTCTTAAAATTTCTCCTAAAAGAAAAAAGAATGTACTAGAAATAACTTAAATGACTAAATTTCTAAAACTACTTTCCCATTTGATTAACTTGTGACTAATAAAATATGTAACACTAATTCACTCTTATCCTGGAAGGCAAGTAAGTTACAGAATATAGCATGTAACAATGACAGGAGCTGAAGTTTTATAATTGTTTTACTCCATGTAATCTTGCAAAACAAGAATTTTTAATCCTTTTATAATGTGATCATCATAATAATTATTCCAATTTATAATGGGAGGAATTTCTATCAAAATTGATTAAGTCTTATTTTTAAAAAGACCATATGTGTTACCAAATATCAAGTATACGCTCATTTACTACTTTAAAAAAGAATCTTTCATGGTTTTAGTCTTTTTTAAAAAACCATATAATTGTGTATATCAACCACTAATTTTTAACTCAATTGCTATGGTTAAAATATTTTATTAATTATATATTTTATACACCATGGAACAGTCACCATAGTTCAATGAAGCCTCACAAATTATTGTTCATTTTAGCATTTTAGAATTTTCACAGAATGAAATGTATTTAGAAAAGTGATGCATGTCAGAAACGTAACTTTGACATTTATGATAAGAACTAAATAAAAATGCTGTAAAGAGGGACTATATACAGACGGAGACACACTGGCATAACTATACAAAGAAAGAAAACCGTAAAAGCCAAACTTGCTTTTAACCTCCAGACCAATAAAGCATTAAGCTTCATGTAAGCTTAACACCTTCACCTTACTATTCTTAGTTTTGGGAGAGAAGAAAAAGAAGAAAACTGATTATCTGTTCTGGTCTACTATGAGCCAGGTACTATGCTGGGTATTTTTTTTTTACATCTTCCAATCTTTGTGGTAAAAGATGCTGAGCTCTCAATAGCTCCTTTTTGCTGATGGGGAAGCACACTGAGAGGAGTCAGGCAGTTGTGCACAGCTCACAAAACAGTCAACGTCGGGTCAGGCTATCTGATCCTCCCCATGGGACAATGGTCTTCCAGAGTTCTTCCACTCTCACAAATCAGTCTCATCTATAACCAGTAACTAAGGCTCCACAGACCATTACAACAATGATTCTCAAATGAAATGGAGGAACCCTTGTAGTAAGAGCTCCTGAGGAGATTCCTTTCCCACTCCAGCCTAGAACCCTGTCCTTTCTACAGATGATGCCTACGAGGCACAAGGACTTCAGGGAAATAAAGGCCCTGGTGACTTAGGAACGTGGTAAGTAGGTCTTTGACTTTCATTCCCAGGTCCTTTCTACACTGCTACAAAGCCTCCAGCATTAACATTATTTTACTGGCTAAAGCAAAGTTTCGGTTCAAAACAATTCTGGAAAAAAATAAGTATATAAAAAGTATAATATTATATAAACATATTATATAATATCCATTAAAAAGGTAAACAGTATACACAAGAAGGGCCAAAGTGTGGATGAAACTGTATGAATTATTCTTACTTTGCAACCACTACAAGTATTAAAAATAAATACTATACATTTACAATAGTTAATAATCTTAAACTTACCTTAAGCCATAGCAAGGCAAAGTGAGGAGCCTGAATAGTGCCAGGAAAACTCTTAAAGGAAGCAGGGTGAACACATACAAAAACGCATCCAGGCACAGAAAGATTCCAAACACCATCAGCTGAATTTTAAGGAGAGAAGAAAAAAAAGTATTTTAAAAATACTTGTAAATGAAAATTTCAAACAATCAGAATTTCTAAACATTATAAAAAATTAATTTCTTAAAACTTAGCCCTGGGAATAACAAATTAATAGTTCTACTCTTCAAAGAATGAGTCTGTGCTTCCTGCAGAGCCTTTGGTTTACGACTCACAAAAGAAATTACTCAAAAACAAGTTGCCCTTGACCATAGTTAATGGCACATAATCTGATGTGTCTTTCTGAGTACTTCCTCAAGCTCTAAAGATATTATGGAAAATCTTTATTCCTCATAATTTTGCTATTCCTATTTATTAGGGTGCTTCGTTGCTGGGAAAGACTGGAATATATATTGAGTTACAACATTGTTTATGTTAAAAACATGCAAACTGATCACTAAGTTTAACACAATTTCATGTGCACTGAAACTTGCTGCACTCAGAAGGCCTTATTCTTAATTCCAGGACCAGCCTCTTAGCGTTTATATTTCTCCTTCATTCTTGAGTACTTGTCATACTCTTTTCTTTTTGTGGTAACATTAGATACTCTTACTTGTTAAGTTTAGGACTATACTACACAGAAAGAGGGTGAAGTCTTTTGAGGACTTGGCCAAGTAGCCACCCCTAGGCTAACAAATTCAGGTACCCATTTTAAGAGTGGTGACTTTCTGTATGTCTGGCACACAATTATGGTATGATACACATGCCCGAGCCACAGCACTTCACGTACCTTTAGTCAATAAATTGCTCTACCTCCACAGATTGAAATTCACAGTTACAGACTGAACTGTGTCCCCTATCAAGTTCCTAAGTTGGTACCTCAGAATGTAACCGTGCTTGGACATGGGGTCTTTAAAGAGGTAATTTAAGTTTAGGTCTTTAGGGTGGACCCTAATCCAATATGACTGGAGTCCTTATAAAAGAGGAAATTTGGACACAGGCACAGACAGAGGAGAGATATGAAGACCGAGGGCGAAGGCAGCCATCTGCAAGTCAAGAAGAGGCCTCAGAAGAAACTACCCCACTGACACTCGATCGCAGACTTCCAGCTTCCAGAACTGCAAGATAATAAATGTCTGTTGTTCAAACCACCTAGTATATGGTACTTTGTTATGGCAGCCCTAGCAAACAAATTCACATGTCTTTAAATTGAAGAATACATTTTATTAATTTTGGATAGAAATGTCTCAAAAATATGCTACACATATTTTTGCCAGATTTCTTAATCTGAATATATAGGCCCTTTTTTTGTTTTCCACAATTTAGACTTATTATGAACAGCAATGAAAATACGATGCTAAACCCCTAAATCACGTGCTGGTAGATTAACATAGAGTCCCAGTGATGCATGTTTTCTTGTCTTACACACAAAGCAGTGCAGTAGGAGGTTGAGCAAAGTCCATGTAGATAGAGTTTGTGGTCCTTTTCTATTACTCTCCTGTCACTGAGAAGCCTTTCCCTCCTTGCGAGTGGACTGCTGGTTCAGTACTGAGGGCAGAAGCTGCCAGAAACCCGATGTCCCCAGAAGGAGAGTTTGTGATCCACTAAAAAGTTGCAACTCAGTCTGAAAGTCAGGTCCTGGATAGGCAGCCAGGTTGAAATTTAGTTCCCTCCTAGGCAGCTTCCAAGGCACTGAAGACAGTTCAGCTCAAACTGACTACAGAAAGCTTTGCAGAAGAGTATACGAGTGGGAACACACTGGAAAGTTCTTTGTGCAAAACTGAATTAAAAGTACCGAGTTACAAACTGCAGGCATACAATTTTAAAATATTTTCTAAAATTCATTCTCAGCAGTGATTTATCAAAATGTACATGTTTCAAAATAATCTTATGCTTAATAATCTTCAGGTACCTCTTTAAAATAAAAAGAGTTATAAGTGAAAACAATCAAAGGACAGAAACGTTCACCAGGCTCTCTGTCTCTGAGAGCTCTTGTCTGGAAGGACTTCAGAAGCCTTCTACAGGTTCTGGGCAATGCAACCGGGCACTGGCCAGGTGCTGGCTCCGCCTGTGCATGGCCGCAGTCCAGTACCACCCACACTCTGCAGTGAGACAAGGAGTTGGCACAGGTTCTTGAGTGGTGGAGGCAGAGCCAGAACTTCACTCCGTCTGCAGAAAACTGAAGCACTATTTCTACTAATGACACTTTCATTCATCCTTCTGGCCTCACTCACCACTGGATTTACCATTATACATATTTCAAAATAAAGTTTAACCTAAGTTTTTAACATCTGAACTTTAATGCTAAGGAAATTACAAAATGAAAATTATCCTATGACATTGTAAGTAAACAAAATATTCACTTGCGAAAACTTCTGCCACCTGCTCTTATCATATTTATTTTGAACCTAATAGAACTGCAACTTAGCATCTGAAAAATACCTGCCTCAAGAGAAATAAATCAATAAAAACGCCAGCCTCTTTCTGTGGGGAATGAAGCAGGGTTTACCTTTTAAAAAATCTATGCTTCCCTTTATGACAAAAATCTCCTGCCCTTCTTTTAGCACCATTTGAAATTTCAAAATAAATAATATGTAATGGCTAAAATGAAAGAAGCATAATGATTTTGCAATATGCCTCCTTGAATTACACTAACCATCTTCTGGAAATTCTGAATACCATCTCCTCCACCACAACCACCAAATACCACCTGCTAGTCAAGGATCGCTGGTCTAGAGTGTTACAAAGTAGGAGTAAAAAGGCTTAGTCTCACTTTTATAAAGCTCGTGCTAAAGCTCTGGGTCTACTTCTGTAAAAGCAGAGACCATATCTTGCTTAATACTGCACTGGGAGGAAAGATATCTTCTCCAGGGAATTCACGACCCAGTGAGCTTGACACAAACCACACAGTAAGTGCTGGATGAATGATGTGCTCTGGAAACACAGGTGAAGAGCTTAGGTCTGTAAAGTGTGTGTATTTGGGGGTAGGAGAGAGTGGCATGAACACCACAGGGAAGGAGGTGCAAGAGATAGCAGAGATGTCCCACAGAGGAGAGAAGATGGGCACTAGATTTTGCCAGGAAGTAAAGAGGACAGAATTCCAAACCAAGGGAAGAACATGCACAGGTACAATGTGAGTAGCCACCTAGCGGTGAGGTTAGGCTATAATCATTATGCAAGAGGCATGAAAATCACGTTTAGCTCATTGTTAAGGAGCTCAAATTTTTATTCTTAGGTTCTAAGGCATCCTTGTCTTTTGATTGTTTTCACTTATAGCTCTTTTATTTTAAAGAGGTACCTGAAGGTAATTAGATTATTTTGAAACATTTACATTTGGATAAATCTCTGCTGAGAATGAATACATTCTCAATAAACCCACATGTAGGGATCAATCATCAGCAGAATGTCAAGGGGAACAGGGTATCAATAAGAAAACTATAAATGACTGACTTTGAAAGCAATTACTGCAGATTCAAGGTTATCCCTACAATAAAATCATTTTAATCATCTGAATTAAAAAATTCATGCCCCAGAAAGTCTATATTCTAGGAGATGACCAAAAAAGGGATTATCATGAGCCAGGTTCTCTTATGATAGGCAAGCTATGTAAGCATATGTAGCCATGGAAAACAAATCAATTGAAGATTTTAATTTGTAGGACTATGCACAAAGAATGATCCTAAGACTTTCTTGTTTCTCTTATTTCCAATCCATGTTGAATAGTGTTATATTTTAAGCATGTGACCCACATTAACTTAATCCTCACAACAACCCACCAGGCAGGAACTATTACTTGGTATTTTGCTTGCTACAGACAGGGCTTAGACAGGGCTGTGGTGCTCCTGCTGAGAGGCTGGAATGATGCAGCAAGGCAGGAGTGCCCTCAGGGTTCAAGGCAAGACTGAGTGTCACCTAAGGAACAGAGGTCTTAGCTGCTGCTCTAGGCTCTGATCCTATACCTTCTATCTAGGATCAGATCGAGGGAGCGGTCAGCACGCAGCACCACAGCAGGCTGCAGCGAGCAGAGAGGACAGTACGGAAGGAGAAGAGCCATCAGTGTGAACGATCACAGCAGCCTGATATAGGACAATGAAAGACAGAGAAGAGAAATTTAAGACTGTTTCCAAAGCTGAAATGAGAGAAATAAGTGACTGATTCACAAAGATAAACATGGCCCCATGGTGCCAAGTTCAAAAATTATCTTTTAAATACATCAATAAATGCGGTAGAGGCCTAAAGGCTTTGCTGGCTTGTCTTAGAACTATCTGATGGGTCTCACATGCCGAACCTCCCCTGAAAAAATTAAGAATGGTAAGACAGTTGCAGAAAGAACATGGAAGCTATGGTCACCACCACCACAAGCAGGGTGTGACAAGCCTCAGAGAGAAGGGGAGAAGCACCAGCCAAGGCTGCTGAGATTTGAGACATGTGGATCCCTACTGGCTTTCCTGCTTCTCAGCAGCCACACGGGGGGTACATCTGCGCAAGGGTGTGTCACCAACAAGAGCTGCATCATGAGAAGAATTTAGAGGGATGATTCTCTAAACATGTTTTCATGAAATTAGAAACTGACTAGGATGCCCAAGAAAACACTGCCACAAATATGGGTCTGAGTAAGTACTCTCTATTAGTTTCACAGTGAAATCCCAGGACTGTTTTACTGAAATAAAGGGGAAACAATAGTCATTATGTTTTCTTAACATATACCTCACACTGACATAAAACAAAAAGGCTTTATATGACATTTTAAGTCCATTCATTAGAAATGAACTTTTGGATTATTTTTTTCCTAAATGCTAACCCCGCCATGACCTTCAAAAAGGCAAAACTAAGTTATTCAACTAGACATTTAAATCTTTCCATCTGCCCTCACCATTCCTCATAGGCAAACTCATTCAATGAATCATGCACTATCAGACCTCTTGACATGACCTAAGTCCAACCTTCTAATCATAGAAGAAAGTAAAACCCAAGAGAGATTTGATGACTTGATCAGGCCTCAGCTATTACAAACAGACTCAAGAAGCTAAGGTTGTTGATGCTT